CTCTGTCTATGAAATGCTTCCGGGGGGGGGGTGAGTTATAGGCCAACTTGATTTTCAAGAATCTATGCGTACCTAACAAAACAGATTGCTCATTTCTCTAAATAGTAAATCCACCCCAGCAGGAAAGAAAACAACATTTTTAGGAAAGAACCTATCACTAAAAAGCCACCACCAAAAAAAAAAAAAAAAAAAAAAAAAATAGTGACTACCATCTAAACCAAATGAATGAGAAATAAAAACATAATGGCCAGTGAACTATCGCTAGTTACGATGAACGGGTGTCACCTCAGGGAGGCTCCGTGTCTTGACAGACAATTGGGCCTTAAACTCACTCTTGACCGCAAATAGAACTCGTACATACGGTCCATCGCTAAAGATACTGGAAAAATGGTCGGCTTCCTGTGCCGCTTCAGTAAGCAGCTGGCTCCTCATGCTATGCTCTACCTTTACAAGAGCAAGATCAGGTCGAAAATGGAGTACTGTTCTCATATTTGGGCGGGACCTGCCCAGTCCTCACATTCTAGTTTTAATAGAGATTAAAAGCATCTCAAAGTCTTTATTGGAGAAGAATTATTTTCCAAATTCTCTCTCAGAGGCGGGATGTGGCTAGACACTCATTGCACTAACGCTACTACCATGGAAAGTACTCGAACGAACTACAACCTTGGTTCCGGCTAGGACCCAGCATGACACTTATACTATAGCAAACCACCCACATACCTTTCGTATTCCATCGGTGAGAAATCAGTTTCACCCGAACAGCTTATTCTCGCGAACTACTGCACTGTAAAACCGACTTCCAAGGAGATGGTTCCCCGATTATTACATTAATCTATTCAAGTCTAGGGTTAATTATTATCTCTCCTTCCTATCCGTATAAACTGCCTCTTAATGTAACCCTCTAATTCGAGTGGCTCGCCGGCCTTTTACTGGGTGAACCTTAATGTAAAAATAACAACAAAAACAACGGAAGAAAGGCTAGGAGGAGAAGTTAATGTTGTTGGGAGGACTCCCAAAATCTTGTGAAAAGATTTGAATACTGGAGTTAGATACAATAGAAATCTTGCAGATTTCTTCTTCTTCTTCTTCTTCTTTTTCTTCTTCTTCTTCTTCTTCTTCTTCTTCTTCTTCTTCTATGTGTCACGTCTCTTCAGAGTGTGAGCTATCATGTCCCCCTGTAACCTCATTCCACTATCCATTCACACATGCTCGTCACACGTATCTCTCTTGGCCTCGATATGTCCTGTAAGTATTATCCTTCTCCTTGATGTGTCCAAAATTTTTCACCCTTTCTCTTTTTGATTCAGACTATAAGTGTTCTTGTTACCATTTTCTTTGAGACGTACTCGTTGCTTACTCGCTCCGTCCATGGAATTCTCAGTATCCTTCTGTAGAACTACATTTCTGTTGCCTTCAGTTTCATCTTCATCTGTACACTGAAAGGCCAATTCTGACTGGCTTCAAATCGCATCAAGTTCATGAAACCAATTTTCGAAGCATCCAAATTGTCTGGATCATTTTCGGACAGACTTCACATAATCTTTAATCCAGTTCATTCCATGCACACTGAAAATATATTGTGTATCACTTATTTATCTTTATTTACACATATCTTTACTCATAAGTACAAATAATAAAGTCATATATGAAATACTATACAAAAAATGTTATGCCTTGTTACATGTAACTAATAATGGACAGATTTTATTATGTAACTAACTTTTTATTAGTTACTATCAGCATGGCCTGGTGTTGCCCGTGCTTGATTAAAATATCATACGACTCATATAGCAATCGCAATCACTTGACTTGAAATATTTTTGCCCTTCCTTGCCTTTAAAGGAGTGCCCTTTGCCGTGCTGATGTTGCTACATGCCTTACTTCTTGCCTATCTCACACTGCGATTTTTTTCTAAGCTCTATATTAAACATTAAATCTGTTACGAAAAAAGAACTAAACAAAATGAACACAAAACGATCAGCTTTAAAAAAAGGACTCGTAACTAGAAAAACCGAATGAAAAAAGAATGTTAACAACAAATACTTTTTCATACCCAACCCAGTTCTGCGGAATCAGAATCAACGTTGAGTTTAAGCAAGCGAATGAGCCAATTGGAGTAAAGTGCCATGCAGATTTAAATTTTTCCCACTTGTGACGAATGCAGCTATCGATTTTTTTTGCATGCTAGCATCCTAGTTAACATTCGTGTCAGTCAGCTGTTGGCTCTCACTCTGGCTAGTACAAAATGGCTGCAAACTACATGAAAACTGTCGTAGAAGCATGAAAAAATCGATTATTTCCACTATCGATGGGAGTTGGGAAATGCAAAGTCGGTCTTGGCCTTTCCGCTAACTTGGAGCAGGTGTAACAATTTTTTAGATTTTTTATTATTTATAAATATGCCCACAGACATAACAAGGTATCGACATATGTACATTGGAAAATATACCAGAGTTATTATTATTATTGTTATTATTTGTGTATGATACGTTTCCTGGTTTGTATCCTGTGGAGCCAGGTCCAAGCTATGATTCTTATTCCGTGTAGGAGAATTGTCATTTAATTTATAGCACTTTTCTTAGTATATGGGATGTTCCTAGGGGGATCTTCCGGCAACTTGATGTTGATGTTTCCCGGGACACTGTTAGTAAAATTGCCCATTCCTTTTCTCACGAGGCCCAGAGCTCCGATTACTATTGGTACAGTCTCAGTCTTCATTCCCCACATCCTGTTAATCTCGATCTCCAGGTCCATGAATTTGGACAATTTCTCGATAATTTTAATGGAGTTGTTTCTCTCAGAAGGTACTGCTATGTCAATAAGCATACACTTCCTGAATTTCTTGTCTTTTATGATATCAGGACTGTTGGCCTTTATTTCCCTGTCAATTTGAATTGACATGTCCCAGAAGATAGTTACATTGTTATTTTAGGTAACTGTTTCTGGTTGGTGCTCATACCATCTCTCAGTGGTTTCGATTTTGTGTTTCTTGCATATCTTCCAGTGCACATATGTCGCTACCTTGTTATGTTTGTGGGTATAGTCTTATTCATATTATTATTATAGCGGCTCGGATTGAGGAATCCGAGAGGCGAGTTCGAATTTCAGTCGAATCCATTACATTCACTTACGTGCTAACCTTACCTTGGGAAAGGTATGAATTCTCTTCTCTCAGCTATGGGTAAATAGCAGGACAGACCGGGTTCTATAGCCTTGGATGGCAACTGGTCTACCGCAGAAAGAAATGGCAACCTACTGTTGGGGGGGGGGGATCTGCCTCGTCCGTCATGTATCGAAAGATACATGATCGCCTAAGCGTGTATCACGCATGGCACACTGACAGAACTGAGTTGCTGAGCGCAAGAGTTGCTTATCAACAAAGTCTTACTGCGGTAGAAATATACAAACCCTAATCTACCTATCATGGCATCCAATCTAATAAGGCTATACTAGTCATATGCATCACATGCAAATGTGCGCGATATGGTGACAGGCTTTGATAAAATCAGAGCATAACTTTGCAGGTGAGGCCCAGTTAATAACACCTTCAAGTCAAAGATAGTTTCTACGTCTTCTTTTTTCTTCTTTCTCGTCTTCCTTTTCCTTTTCTTTCTCTTCGTCTTATTTCTCTTCTTCTTCCGCTTCTTTCTCTCTTCTTCTTCTTCTTCTTCTTCTTCCTCGTACTCTCTTCTTCCCTCTCCTCTTCCCTTTTCTTATTCCTCCACCTCCTCTTTCCCCCTTCTTCTTCATCCTCCTGTTTCCTCTTCTTCATCCTCCACCTTTTCCCTCTCTTCTTCCTCCATTTACCCTCATCTTCCTCCTCTTCTTCCTCCTTCTCTTTCTCTTCTTCTTCATCCTTCACCTCTTTCCTCTCCTCCTCCTCTTCCTCTTTCCTTCTCCTCCTACAATCCAAATAATTCCAACATAGTAGGAGTTAATTAAACCAAAGAAGGTATGAAACATTAAATCCAGAGTGTGGGTCCAAACTTTTCGATTATAGTGCACATTGCTAAATTTCTCCTGACATAAAATAACAGCTTTTATAAATTTTGAAGTACTAACTATTGTTTTCGAATGTGAATCATGAAATACATTTTTCCAGTTTTCTGTTAAAAATTTGTTTTTTCATCTACACACTTTGTAAACATCTTTGAAATCACTGTCACCTGAAATTTCAGTTGCAATGGAGATAACTCATTTATTGTAAAAAAAAATTTAGAAAAATATTCAAATAGACGGAACGTTTTATTTTACGTGATATAAAAAGAGAAATTATTAACAATTTAAATTACACAAAGACGTTTCAGACACCATACATTTTGTTTTAATTGAACTATACCCTTGAATGAAAAAAAAAAACCCTCCTTGCGGTGAAATACTGCCATAGACCTTTTATAATTACCAACTGCAGTAACCAGATATATATCCCTTAAGATGTTTCTTCACCGATCATGATGTCTGTGTTTACATTTATCGCGGTCAAGTTTTAGTTTTCGGAGAGGTGTTTTTTTTTTTTATTTCGATGTTCGGTCTTTTTGTGAGTATGGGAAGGGACTAAGGCCAGAAGAAGAGGGACTTCTTAAAGAGGGCAGCGCCTATCAAGTTACAAGCTAATATTCTTCACGAGTTGTTCTCGTCCCTCCTAGGACTCTGGTCACGGCTCGACCGGACAGCGATAATACAAAGAAGTCTGAAGCACCCCCACCCCCTCGGAGCCTGTCCGGCTATAGCCGAACGGCCAACACAGCTGCCATCTTGAAGTCTCTTTAGAAATTGGCACTAATGGAAAATGGATTTCGGTCGATTCTGGCGGCAGAAGGAAAGCGATTTAATGTCTAAGTGTGTAGAAGTAGTATCGATTGGCGGCACTTGTTTTAACAGTTCAGAAGAAAGAGGTTGGTTTGGAGAGGAAACGTTCCGGTGATGATGATGATGATGATGATGATGATGATGGTGGTGGTGGTGGTTGGGTTTCTGCTAGTATGGTGAAGAACAGAACCTCAAAAAAAAGAAGAAAAAAGAAGAAAGAAAAGGAGAAGTAGATAAGGGAGAAAAAAAGAAAACAAGAAAAGAGAACAATATTTGGTACGAAACGATAGAAGCTTATTGAGAATAAGAATGGAAGTGATGAAGAGAGGTGGGAGAGGAAAAAGAAAGTAGAAGTAGGAGGGGAGAGAGAGGGAGAGGTAAGAGATAGTAAGAAAGAGACAGTGAGTCAGAGAGTCGGAGTGAAAAATGTGAGAGAAAAAGAAAGTGTAGATAAAATAGGAGAGAAGCTGCAACGGGAAAAAGAGAAGGAAACGATAAAGAAAAATAGACGTTGAAGGAAGAGAATAAAGAAATACTGTTATGCAAGAAAAGGAAAAGAGAGAGACGGAGAGAGAGAGAGAGACGGAGAGAGAGAGAGACGGAGAGAGAGAGAGAGACGGAGAGAGAGACGAGGAGGAAAATGTTTTCTAGTTAAATGAGAGGAAAAAGAAAATTAATGGGAAGATGGAGAATCGAAGAAAATAATTTTCAAAAATATAAACTGGTTGATTAATGAAATGCAAATAATTTAAACCTGTGAAAATTTTCTTGTTTTTTTTTTCTTTGAATTTTTTGATGAATCCTAATTCTGAAGTTAATGATTTAAAAAACTCCTTGTGAGTATTAAAGCTATAAAACACCCTTGGAAATGTCTCTACTGCATCGGTAAATATTTCAGTTTAACATCTTCAACAAAATATTGCAATAACAATCATAAATATGAAAACAGGTCATTATTTAAGAAGTAAGAGGGTATAAATGAAATCATTTGAAATTGACAAGTTTTTCTATTTCACTGAAGCAGGCGTTGAACACCTAAGAGCGTTATTGTTACCTCTATTTTTTCTTTTTTTTTTTTCTTTGCAAGGGTTTCCTTTTCACTGAAGTAGACGCTAAACACATAAGAACGATATTGTCTCATCTTTCTTTCTTTCTTTCTTTCTTTTTTCTTTGTTTGTTTCTTTCTTTACTAGCTTATTCATTTCCCTGAAGCAGACGTTAAACACGTGAGAGCGTTGTCATTATTCTTTCTTTCTTTCTTTCTTTCTTTCTTTCTTTCTTTCTTTCTTTCTTTCTTTCTTCTTCCATTCCTTAAAACCAAATAGCACCTTCAGTATATATATATATATATATATATATATATATATATATATATATATATATATATATATTCCGTTTAGTCGCGTAATCTGACAGGAATGGCACATTAGGTAATTTGGGGGCGAAACATACCTGCTAACTAAGAAACTAAAGAACAAGCAGAATTATAATGTAATAGAAATACCCGTGAAAATTTCACGGTTTTCTTATTTGAATTATCTGATGTATCTTAATTCTTAAGTTAATGACTGTATATGCTCATGGCGACAATAAAATATGCCTAGAAATTCACCTATCACAACGTTAAATATTTGGGCTTTAACATCTTTAATAAAATACTGCAATAATAATCATAATTGTGAATGCTGCTTATTATTTTAAGAAGAGGGTACAAATGAAATGATTTGAAATTGACAAAGTTTTCCATTTCACTCAAACAGTTATTAGGCGCATGAGGGAGCTATGGACTTTTCTATCTTCCTTTCTTGAAACCAAGTAGTATCTCTGGTATGTCTTTCTCGTCATTCCACGCAATCAAAACGGAATAGTTCATTATTTATGAGGTACTGGCAGGCCGTAACGGTCGTGCTAACAAAGGAACTAAGGAAGGAGCAAGCATAATTATAATAACATTTTCAAAAATATCAAATTCATCCCAAACAAGGTAGTAAAGCCACTAAGACACAAAGGGTTGTTACTAGGTGTGAAAGAATTAGAAAACAGAAAACATTATGAAGGAGCGAGAATAATTGTTTTAACCTGGGGAAGGTTACTGAATAGAATAATCAAATGAAGGTTGGTAATGAATGATAATACTTAGGACAAGATCAACACATATAGGATTCGCCAGTGGTGCACAGAAGAAGTAGTCAGCTGCTAGAAGTGAGTCAAGTGAATTCCACAATGAATCTCCAACTGCAGATCAACATACAGTATTTACTACTGTATTTATGTGAATGGGGACATACCCATTATCATCTGTAGGTATGCGACAACAATAATAAAAGAATGATCTGGCAGACAGTAGATAACGATTGACGTTGCATTTAAATTTTTGAACCTGAAAGTTGGCTCGAAAGCATGGAGCCAGAAGAGAGTTCCACAAGCGAGAAGTGCGAGAAAAGGAACTGTTAGAATAGAACTTGCGATTGTCCTTTCAATTGTAAATTGATGAGACCTTATTGCCAATCTAGTACTGCGCTTAAATTCATAAATTCTAGGTGTAATTGCGAAGAGCTCATCTGAACAATTACTATGAAAGTATTTATAGAAAAGACATTTTCGTTTTGCATTATAAGCCACCATTAATACATTTAACTGTGGTACTAAAAAGGCGTTTTTACTAAACTTAGTTTGGTGTATCTCTTAGAGTTATGGGGCAACTAATAAAGACTAAACTCGTTATATACTAGCGAAATGGTATGTAAGACAAGCCAGTTCCCTAAAACTAAATCCTATAGTCCAGTAGATAAACAGCCTTTACCAGTGGTTCACATTTACTAATATATGTTAACCAAGAAATTCTTCCAAAACAGTAAAACTAAAATTGGAAAAAATTCTGTAAAATAATGAATGCAAATTATTTTTGTTTTGTACTTAATGAATAATTGTTAGCCAATCAGCTATTAACAGTATAATAATACTTAGGACAAGAACAACACATATAAGATTCGCCAGCTGTGCGTAGAAGTAGTAGTCAACTGCTAGAAGTGAGTCAAGTGAATTCCACAATGAATCTCTTATTTAAATTGCAATTTAGAGACAAAGGTAGTTTATTGCTTTAAAGTTATGTTTTATAACAGTAGTATTCGAAATACAGCCCGTGTACGTAATGCGGTCGACATGATGATTTTAGGTGAACCACAAGAGAGCAACAAACATTATTTTTTAAATGTTCATTAAAAGAATTATTGGTATTGTTTGGTAACACGTTGCATAAACTAGTAATTTATTCAAAAACAGCAGCAAAAGAGGTCAAAGACGGAAACCGTATTTATTTAATAGCGAACCTCGGTTCTTTAATAGAGAAACTCACTTCCTACACCATTGACATATCGCGTTATATACAATAGGTTGATTCTCATTCTTTTTATAAAATCAACATTGTACTTCATGTAACAGCCGGGATTTGATATGCATACTGACACCATAAATTAGATTAATAACTTTTTACCAATTTTTGAGCATTTAGTTTAAAATAAATTGTCAGCTAAATTACAGAAATACCTAATTTCCGGAGGTTTTTTGCTTACAAACTGACTTCAAAATTTTACTATTTCAAGAATAAATCCAGTAAAGTTAATATCTTTTGTATTAGACACATTGAATAGAAAATATATTAAAACTAGAATTCTAATTATAAATCACCACAAGAAAAATATATTCAGTTTTTTTCCTATACTCAGTATGTAAAAAACTGTAAAAAAATTGTAAAAGATTACAAAAGAGGTTAATCAATAAGATTTGTTAGATCTTTTGTTAAATCATAATTAATCAAGACAAAAAATAGATAAAAGTGTATATAACACCATAATACTGCTGAGTACAAATTACAAGACAAAATGTTTTAAATTTGCATTGTTTATTGAAAATCACACTAAAACTACTACACTATATAATATATTACATCATAATATATTACACTATATAATATATTACATCATAATAAATTGTTCAGTATAATATCACTCTGAAGTAAGTGAAAGTCTTATTTAATAGCGCAATGATTTAGTAATAATATGCTTGCGCCATGCATCTTGTCCGTATACAATTTGTAAAACTTCAGTAAATTAAGGCTGTGCTTTCGCTGATCATCGGAATGAAATTCCAACGCTACGATTTTGAACCTAAACTTAATCTTTAAACTCGTTTCCCTACAAAATGGTAACGATTTCGAAAAAATATTTTGTGATGTTATTTATCATGTCAAACCCCAACTTTCAAATTGAGTGCAATACCATGGTTCCAAAATCGGCATACTTTAATGCTCAATCACAGCCACTTGGATCGCTACGTTTTACACTGAGCCGATGTCAATGTCCAATCATCGGCACAGCATAAACTGACGTAGGGATCCAGGTGCCTGTGTGCACACTAACTGCAGATAAAGATATGATGTCATTACATTACTTCGCTAAAAACATCTGACGCAATTCATCGAGAATTTCTTATTATTGTGTAAGTGTTTTTTTCTCATCTGCACAAGTCTCATTAATAGTAACAAATACATTCAGTAATTAAACATTAAATGAATTTCTCATACGTTTGTTTACAAAATGTGTCTAATTAGTAAATAAATGTACAAAGAGCATACGAATATATGATACATGCTGCTTATATTGTTATTGTGAAATTTGTGTTATAATATGTGACCCACTTTACACAAGGCCAAAAATAATGCGGGTCTCCTTGAAAAAAAAATGTCAACCGCATTTCTGTATGAACAGACGAAATATCTCAAGAAAATCTAAAGGTAAAATTCTATGATCTGGTATCAATAATGGAAGGTGTTTTTATGAGAAAATTTAACACTGTCATTGAGTATAAGACAAGGGTTGTCAGTAATCATAAATTAACAGAAGTATAGAGTAATATCTATCTATCTATATCCATATCTTTATATATATATATATATATATATATATATATATATATATATATTAAAGACATTTTATGTTTATACATTCTTTTTATAGATAAAAATATTTAAGTAAATGCTCTGTTAATAATAAACAGTATTAAACAAATACAATTATAAATTATAAACAGAGCATTTACTTAAATATTTGTATCTATAAAAAGAATGTATAAACATAAAATGTCTTAAAATAATTGTCGGAATTGTCCATTTCGTAATATATATATATATATATATATATATATATATAATACGGTAAAAAATACAAAATTACCTCATGTGGGTATAGTCATTGAACTCTCTCCGTGGGTCAGTTTTAATATCAAATATTACTAGGAACCACCTGGATTATATACAAACCGATCTATTACCTGTACTATATATATATATATATATATATATATATATATATATATATATATATATATATATATAAAGGTTAAGGGTCAGAGTTGAATCAGACCAGGAAACAGTAGCATTAAAAAAGTACTCAATACACTTGAGAAAAAAATATAAGTAAAAATAAAATAACTTGTAAAATTTTTAACTTTAAAAATCATTATTATCATATTGATAATATTAGTGGTCAATATATATATATATATATATATATATATATATATATATATATATATATATATATTTCCAAGAGGATAAAATCCAGGTAGAACTCTATGTACAAGACGGAGCAAGAATATAATATAAAAGGCTTAAACACTAAGACCTTGAACCTTTTATATATATATATATATATATATATATATATATATATATATATATATATATATCGTTGAAACCTCCTCAGAGGTTTGCGGACTGAAAACTTTGGTGTTGAGGTGCTAAATGTAACATCTATCAGTTAAGTGACAAATTTTATTTCTATTAACACACACACACACACACACACACACACACACACACACACACACACACACACACACACACACACACACACTCGCACACACACACACACACGCACGCACACACACACACACATATATATATATATATGATGGACTCTCCCATCGTTTTCGACGTATGAGTGTCTTTTAGTTCAGTTTTTAACCTGTCCTCGTCGTCTTAACTCTCTCGCCAGTGGACTTGTTGCTCAGGTGAAGTAGCAAAGAAAGAACACAGAACTGAACTGCAGACTATCCACACAAGAGATTTGTTTAGAATGGTGAAGGCTTGTGTCGAACCAGCCACACTTATTGGAAGTGCTGATAACAATGAGTTGGTGCAACTATTTGTCACGAACACAATGAACACCCCTCAGGTTTTGTTATCATGGAGTCATACCTCTCCGTTACTACCAATGCACAGAAGTGTGCAACGCCTTTCGATGCTAAATTCACGTGATTTAGCCCGCCTGCTGAAGCTGATGACCTTAAAAGTGACGCCTCTGTTGATAGAAAAGTATCGTTCACTCCAATTAGCGTGTATTTAATTGAACGTTAATAGAACAAGTGATCAAATGATGTTTCTTAATGGTGATGTCATGTTCCCGAGATGGCGATAAAATCAAGTTTTTTAAGCAGTCATTTTCTTTGTATGCCACACACGTCAATTCGGCTTTAGAGGCGGAAACTGAACCTTGTCCATTAGACGTTTGCAAGCCGGTACGTAAGTATTTCAAGTCAGCGGCTGTAGATCGCTAAATCGTTTTCACAACTTAGATGCTAGCCCAATCAAAGTTTTTATCGAAGAGTTCCATTTCGATTGCAGCCCAATCAATTTGTTTCACACCTCAGCGACAACAGTCATCGATTTTCACTTCGAGAACAAAAACGAGTCGGCTGAGCATGACTATCGAAAAAGTTTATTTGGCGCAAAAATTAGAATAGACTTCATATTTTACATCAAATACACTTATAAATACAAAGAACAATAAATACTAGTTGTCAGATTTTATTATGCCAGCCGGTGTTTTCTCAATATAATTAGTTGGAACCAAGTAACCATTTTATGATAAAGGTGAGAGTTGATTTTATCCATGCTTTGAATATTGCTACCAAATCTGGTCTGGTGCTTCTGCTTTTGCTTATGTATTAACAGATTCTTGATAAAATCCAAAGAAGCTGCAGTGTTATTGATCCTGACCTGGCATCTCGGTTTCAGTCGTAATGTAGATTCCCTGTGCCTTTTCTATAAATATTTTCATGGTGATTGTTCTGAATATTCCTCTATGGTAACTAGACTTTATGGATTGAAGCCCAGTGCTAGATTGGCGGCAAGGTCTCATCATTTTACAGTTGAAATGATTAGATGTGACCGCAAAGTTCTATGCTAACAGTTTCTTCTCTCGCACTTCTCGCTTGTGGATCTATTTTCCGGCTTCTTAGTTCCCAGTCAAGTTTGATTTTCAAAAATTTAAATGCAATGTCAATCGTTATCTTCTGTTTTCTTAATTCCTGTTCTTTTATTGTTCTCCTTCCATAATAGTGATTTTTCTCACATTCTCTCACACTCAGTAGCCTCTTGCGTCTTAGTGGCTTTGTTGCCTTACTTGAGACAAAATGGTTATAAAATTAAAATATTTTCTTGCTGGGCAATTTACTTTTCTTTTCTGTTCTTTTCTTTTCTTTCTTTGTGCAGTATCCCTTAAGGACATAGGCAATCATGACTCTCCACAACTACCTATCCTTTGTAGCTCTTAGTAAAGTTTGTATTTTTAATATCTCCCCCACCCTTTGTCCTGCCAATCATTTACACAAGATGGTTAGGTTTGTTATTCACGGCTTTCCTCTGTCTCTTTTTTGCCTTCTGGATATCTTATGAGTGTCATATTCTCCATACCCACTTTCCTCACTATATGATCTAGAAATGTTATTCTAATTATTATTTTCCTTTTTGTTTCCATTTTACTTAAAATTTCCTCGTTACTCACATGTTCAATCATTGGCATTCTCAGCATCCTTCTGTAGAGCCACATTTCTGTTGTCCCAGGTCTTCTTTTAAACTGTAAGTGTCCAACATTCACTGCCATATAAGAGAATTGTTATTACCGGGTGCGATGGATAAATTCGCCATCTAAATTACGCTAAAATGAAAACGACATCTCATCTTAACAGATATATTTACCAAAATTATATAAAAATATCTTATAAAGAGTAGATTTATTCAATAAAATCGTCATTTTCTTCAACCACGGCCTCCAGTCGACTTCGGAATCTCCTGCAACTCTTCTGGACAGTTTCTTTTTTTAAG